CGGTTCAGCACTGGCAGTCGAGGTTGCTAGAAGGAGCTGCGTTTCAGTACCGACTGCTTCGGAAGCGGCCCGAACCCCCTCATTCGCAGCAAAGATCTTCTTTTCAGCACTCTTCAGCCCCCTTGTACGCTCGACTCCGGAAACCCAGGGGTCGGCCTCGGGTCTCTCCTGAGGCTCTTTGCCACAGACTCCATGTGGGACTTTTCTCTCCGGCAGCAGTATAGAAAATGTTCTTTACGACCTGTCCTGTCCATCCTGGCCCCAGGGCCGCAGCATGGGCTATCTCCTGTATAGCCCATATATCTCATAAATATATAGATATATATGTATAGCTCATATATCTCCTCCTGTAAGCCTACTGCTGCTCAGGGCTCCACGTCAAATTATGCTTCTTCCATGTCTTACAATGAGGCTGTAGTTTGGAACACGTGTTCTCCAAAAGCCCGCTGTGGCCAGAAAAGATGGTGTCTCTGTCTTGCTACAGGGTGGAGACGTAGCAGCGATTTAGGCGGTCGCATGTCCTGGGATGTGACGACGCCCATCGTGCCATTTTAATCCTAGGAACTGCTTTCCCTAGGCGGGCCCTTTCACTTCGCGTCACTTCATAGCGAAACGAGTTAGCAGAAGAATTTGGATTATTCACTGCGCTTTCCTGAAAACTTCTGCTGTACCCCCCACACAACATCGTCAATAGACTGCAGATGCCTGGGAGCGCCTCCCTGTTCCAATGCGGTTTGTATCGACCCACAGCAAATGGTTAGGCTGTGTTTCCACCTCTGAGGCAAACAGTTGCAGTTGTACCGAGCGCCCCTGGAGATGAAAGCAAACTGGCCTGCGTTCTGTGGCCAAAGAAAGGGAAAACAAGGCATTAACAATGCCAGTGTTGGCATACCACAAGGCTGCTTGTGACTCCAGTTCGTACAGGAGTTCTAACGTGTCCGGCACAACGACCCTCAGTGGGGTGTGACTTCATTCGGGCCGCGGTAGACTACCGCCAACCTCCACGGGCTTGGCACACTTGCCATTTTGGGGACGTCAAAAGTTGAGTGAGGTGGGCTTATTGCTCCCTGACTCTTTAGCTGACGAATCACCTTACGAACGGGAAGCGAGGAATCCGTGCGGGTGCGGTACTGCTATCTGTGCTATGCTTTTGTAGCAACTGGTACCTGTTGTTTTCCACTTGCACTTTTGAAAGAATCCGAAAAGATGTTTAGCAGACAGAGTTTTAAATGTCGGACCGACTCAGCTCCGTTAGGGAACGATAAATGAACTTCTTTTATGGAACAAACCTTACGCACTTTTGCACTGTGCAGAACTTCGTAAACTGCAGTTCCTCACCGGAAGCGCAGCAGCAAATCGAATCGAGCACGACTTCTAAAGTGAAGACTCACATCACGGACACTGGAAATACCAGCAAAGCTTCTACACGAAGCACATACTTACTATATTAACTTATAGTTTTATTTAACTTATAGATTATAGTTATATGTAACTTATAGTTTCCTAGGAGGTTTCTGGAATGTACGGAGGATAACTTTCTGATGCGGGTGATGAGAGAGCCGTCAAGAGGATCTGCCTCACTAGACCTGCTGTTCACAGAGGTCTGGTGGGAGATGTGGAGGTCAGGGGCTGTCTTGGACATAGTGATCGTGAAATGGTGGAGCCAGGAGGGGGACCGGCGTAACTGCTACCTTGGAATTCTGGAGGGTGGACTTTGAATTATTCCTAAGAGAAGCAGGGTAAATCTCCTGGGTTTCAGTCTTATAGAGTAAAGGGGTCGAAGATGGCTGGTCACTTCTCAAGAAGAAATCTTAAAGGCACAGGAGCTGGCTGTCCTTCGGAGATGCTAAATGAGCCAGCAGGGAAGAAGACTAGCGTGATGAATAGGGAGCTATTCTTGAGACTCCGGGAGCAAAAGAGAATCTATCTCCTGTGGAAGAAGGGATGGGTGACTCAGAAAGAGAACGGAGCAGTTGTTAAGATGTGTAGAGAGAAAATCAGAAAGGCAAAAGCCCGGCTTGAACTCAACCTGGCCGCTGGGGTAAAAAGGAACAAGAAACTCTTTTACCAATACAGTAACAGTAAGAGGAAGACTAAGGAGAATCTCCATTCTTTACTGGATGAGGCTGGGAATGTGACCGCTGAGGAAAGGAAAAAGGCAGATGTTCTGAATGCCTTCTTCATGGCTGTCTTTAAAGGTCAGACCAGTTATCCTCAGAGAACTCCGCTCTCTGACCTGGTAGTCTCAGCTGCGGGGCGGACTGAACCCCCCCCGATTCAGGAGGACGCCGTTAGAGACCTACTACTCCAGCTGGACTGTCGTAACTCCATGGAGCCGGATGAGATTCACCCGAGAGCGTTGAGGGAACTGGCGGAGGCCGAGCCACTTGCCCTTATCTGTCAGCGCTCCTTGTTGACTGCTGAGGTCCCAGGAGACCGGAAGCTTGCCGACATGATTCCCATCTACAATAACAGTTTTAAGGAGGGTCCGGGGAACTGCAGGCCCGTTAGCCTGACCTTGGTGCCAGGGAAGTGTACGGAGTGGACTGTCTTGGTGGAGATCACGCGGCATGTACGAGACGACCGGGGGATCGGGTCTAGCCGGCACGGGTTCGTGCAAGGCAGGTCCTGCTAGACCAACCTGATCTTGTACGATCTAGTGACCCATCTGGGAGATGAGGGAAAGGCTGCTGATGTAGTCTACCTAGACTTCAGCAAAGCCTTTGACACTGTCTCCCACAGTATTGTCCTGCAGAAGCGGGCAGCCTGTGGCGGGTACGCTCTTGACTGCATAAGAAACTGGCTGGAAGGCTGGGCCCGGAGGGTGGTAGTGAGAGCTAAATCCAGCTGGCGACCTGTCAGGAGTAGCGTCCCCCAGGGGTCGGTGCTGGGGCCTGTCCTCTTCAATATCTTTATTGATGACCTGGATGAGGGCATTGAGTGCCCCCTCGGTAAGTTTGCAGATGACACCGAGTTGGGTGGAAGTCTCGATCTGCCTGGGGGTAGTGAGGCCCTACAGAGGGATCTGGACAGGCTGAAAAGCTGGGCTGAAGCCAATGGGATGAGTTTCAACAAGGCCAAATGCCCGGTCCTGCACTTTGGCCGCAACAACCCCAGGCGACATACAGGCTTGGGGCAGAGTGGCTGGAAGACTGTGTAAAGGAAATGGACCTGGGGGTATTGATTGATGCTCGGCTGAACGTGAGCCGACAGTGTGACCAGGTGGCCAAGAAGGCCAATGGCTTCCTGGCTTGCATCAGGAACCGTGTGGCCAGCAGGAACAGGGAAGTGACTGTCCCCTGTCCTCGGCTCTGGTCAGGCTGCGCCTCCAGTACTGCATCCGGTTTGGGGCCCTCGCTGCAAGAAAGACAGTGAGGCCCCGGAGCGGGTTCGAAGAAGGGCGACAAAGCTGGAGAGGGGTCTGGAGCACAGGGCTTATGAGGAGTGGCTGAAGGAGCTGGGATTGTTCAGTCTGAAGAAGAGGAGGCTCAGGGGAGACCTCATTGCTCTCTGTAACTTCCTGAAGAGAGGTTGCAGTGAGCTGGGGGTCCGTCTCTTCTGTCATGTAACTGGTGATAGAACTAAAGGGAATGGCTTCGAGCTGCGCCAGGAGAGATTTAGGCTGGACGTTAGGAAATACTACTTTTCTGAAAGACTGGTCAGGCACTGGAATGGGCTGCCCGGGGAGGTGGTGGAGTCACCGACCCCGGAGGTGTTCAAAGAACATTTGGATTTTGTGAGGAGGGACGTGGTTTAGGGAGAAGTATTGGTGATAGGTGGATGGTTGGACTGGTGATCTTGAAGGTCTTTTCCAGTGTTGGTGTTTTGGTGATTCTGTGATTATGATTCCTTGTCGATGAGCAGATGCCCAAAAGGTAAGTGGTTTCATGTCCTATTTTGAAAATCTCTTCTTACTTTCCGTGTGACGTGAATATCTCATATGCTACGGTTTCCCTTTCCCAAAGTTATCTGTTACCTCTCTTAACCTCGGCAAAGTTATATTCCTCCATCTGAACACAAATCAGAACATATGATTTTGGAGACTCAGTAATTAGAAAATTACAATATTACGAATAGGCAGAGGAATCATAATTAATTACTGCTCTGTATATCTTTAAAGGTGTTTTGAACTTTTTGGTGAAGAATGAGATCTCGGGCTTGTTCCACTGTTACACTGGGATGGAATCCGCTCCCCACGCCCTGACCTAGAGGTTCAGGGGCCTTGCAGACGCTTGTATTTCCAAGTATTTTAAGTTAAGTTAAAATAAATTAATAAAAACCAACAAACAAATACAGTTAAACTAAAATAAAATAAATACAATTTCATGAGTTTAGAGAAAGTGAAAGCATTCTGTCAGCCCCCGGCTCCACAATCTTTGAAAGACTTCTACACGGTTCTATCGGTATTTCCTTTCCCTTGCTTAACAGTTCCATACACTTATATTGGAAACCTAATTTGCCTGTGCTGGGATTTCAAAGGAGTTGAAAGATGTTAATTTCGAAGTGAGAAAATGCAGTGTACTCGAGAGGAAGTGAATGATCCAACCGCAGCTCCTTCTTTGCCAAATAAACTCCTGAGTACTTTACAGAACATGCTGGCAGATAGCACGTGCCTTCAGGCTCAAAATAATCCCGACAAGCTAAACTTCGCCATGTCTAGATCTGTTTAGGCACAATATTTCATCACTCTAAAACTGCATATTCATTATTTTATGCAGATGACTAAGCTATAGTTTTGCTGTAGTAATGTAATACCTTGTCCACTGAATTAGAACGCCCAGACCTCTTCAGTTTGTTTAATTCTCCCATTTTCCTCAGGGAAACCTGGAGGATCGCTGTGTTTATATAAGCTGTCCAAATCCAAGTTTCGAATTAATGATTCCGTTATCGGACAAAGGCAGACCCAACGCGTTTTCCAGATGGCTTCAAGCACCAATTATCTGAGATTTTCCAGGAAACCCGAACTTCAGGGTGAAATTGCCAGAGAAAAAAATACTAACCTGAGTTTGGGACATCCCCCAGCTGCACTGTCACCTTGGTCCAGGTAAGGCCTGACTTCCCAAACGCCGTGCGTACTGCTGGATGTAGCGGAACTCAGACAGCATTCACATGTGCCGTCGGGCCGTGCACACTGCTTGTCTCAAAATCACGATTCCACTGATCTCCTGCTAGAAAATAATTTACAGAAAGAAGGCAGATATCTCACTCACCTCACACAATAAAGGCATTCAAACATACGTATTATCCAGAAGCTCTCATTAGCATCGCTGGCCAATTCTGGTTCGGTTTTTGTATGAGCAGAAGCGTGGGCTTCCTGGGAAAGAGCTTCTGATGATCGTACCACAATAGCTGGTCGCAGAACTGGTAGCCGGGTAACAAATCCGTCGCCCTCAAAAGGAACGGTCTGCGGCTGGAACAGGAGGCAGATTCTCTCGTACCACGTCCTCAGTTCCTGAATACTTAGTCACCGTGCTTTTGCCACAGTTTTGTTACACACGGACAAATGGACATTTGTGCAATCCTTTTGGCCTGACGAACATTTGACGGCAGGGTGATTAATGCCTTCTCCTTGGTATATTACTTGTTACCTTATAATTTTTTGTTCTTACTCAAATCTGTCCATCTGCCTGACAGTCTGCCCAGAACGCCTTATGAAAATAGTCAAATAAAATTAAAACAGCACGGGGAGGGAAAGGGTACAGAGAAGAATGCTTAGCAGGGGAGCTAAGCGTCAGGTAATAGCTTGACTCGTTCTTCACAAAAGCTGAGCAGAATATGGCAGCCTTAACGTCAGCTGCCAACTTCAAAAAACCTCACACCTGTGACAAGAAACTCTCCCTCTTAATTATACCTCGACACTGTCCTCTGTAACAGAGCCAGTATTTTGCCAGGAATAAACATCGCTATTTCTTTCCTAGGCAAGCTGCTTGGCTGTTTCAATTGTCTTTTAAACATTAAGGAGCTGGAAACATTCGTCACATCCTGTGCTGTTTACACAGCATCACGCAGTCCCCTTTGAAACCAAGACGCTTTACGGCAAGCTCGACACGCGGTTCCATCCAAACATTTGCTCCTGTATTTGCCAACCACAAACAAATTTCTGCAAACGCTGAGCAAAGCTTTAAAGGTTCTGACAGCCACCCAAAGTTGTGCTAGCACGACGGCCGAGGAAAGGTGGTATCAGGACACTCGGCCTCCACCGCTACTACCTGGATGTGGGAAGAGACGTGAACGCAAAGCGCTCACTGCTCCGCACAGCACAGCTCCGGGCAAAGACTTGCTGCCCGGCCTCTACAACCCTGCTCTTCCAAAGCACTGGAGAGCGCAAAGAGCACAAGGACGGTTAGAGAAAAGTGTGAAAGGGTAACTTACGTTGTATAGAGAAACACTGCGAAAGGACTGCTGTGGTTTCTTCAGTATTTTACACTGACGTTGGAAGAGAAGGCAGTCAAAATAGGACACCTACAGAAATCTCTCTTCAATTCTCTCTCTCTGTTCGTTTACTCTCCAGTCGCTGCGCCTGAAGAAATGCAACAGTCAAAAGTTTATCCCTGCTATTTCCCAGTGATGCGGCCGTCTCTCCTTGGCGATGTACTGACAATGTAAAATCAGACAAGAGCAGGGGAGGCGAGAAGCAATCTAGCTTGAGCCTGAAACTTCTGAACTGGGCGTTTTCTGTAAAAGCTGCTTCAGTGTCAGAAGCTCCCATCGCCACGCCAACTTGCAGAGCGTGGACTCATCCATCTGGTTTTCGTAAATTGCAAATTACAAGCGAAGCAGGGAACGAACACAGCCCGGTTTTCGCTGAACTCCCCAGGCACCAGCCTTACAAGTAACCCGAGGTACAAAGGCTTTGTGAACAGCGGGCCAGCCCACGCCGCTCTGCTCTCCGTCACGCGTGTGGCTGGGCTGGTGGGCTGGCTAACTCCCCAGGCATCCCCCTGCTCTGCGAGCGGCGCGCTGCCCAGGGATGTGCCGAGCGGCGCTCCCCCCCCCGGCGGAAAAAAATGAGCCTGCAGCATCCTTCCCAGCATGAACAGCCTTTTCGGAAAGGGAATTTAAAATAAACACGAGGTTAAATAAATAAAAAAGACAAACTGTGCGTTACTTAAAACAGTTCAACAGTTTAGGAAGTCAATTAGAACAACCTGATGTTTATTAATAGCGAACAGAACGCAGGCGCCCGTACTTCAAACATTTCCAGGTGGGAAGGAAATACACTGCGGGTTTTTTTGATTTGCTGTTGTATTTTCCTCTCAGAATTAGTGGAGAGCTGCCTGACGGAAAACCTCTGAGATGATCCTGCCCATTGATTACCACAACGAGCATTTTAATCAAAAGCATCATAAAGTCTCTAAAAGCACCCATTCAAAGCTGGTGACTCCAAGCTCCTAAAGCCATGTTCGCTCTCTATTTTCAGCTACTTCAAGGTCCTGATTAAATTGAAGTGCCAGAGGCTTGAGGGCTAACACACCTTTTTTTTTTAGACAGTTCAAGGTCAGTAGTAAACTGCATTGTTTTTCTAACACAAACACCGAGGAAACTATTTCCCCCTTGTCTATATCAGATAAAGAAGTTTTGTGTTACTTGAAATCAGAAAATGTTATTTTTGTGTTCTTTTTCTTTAAAATATCATCTTGTATTTAGCCTTTCGTTTCACCTGAGGACTTCTGCAAGCTTTTCTACTGGGAACGATCTCACTCCGTTTAACACTGAGAACCTCCAAGGGAGGCAGCTTTCCTCAAAGCGTGAATCGGTGAGTCGTTAACAAAATAAAAACACCGCTGTAAATGGTCTGCCTCAAAATTCCAAGGCTTGTCACTTGCTCCATTTCTCTCTTTGCTTGATTATGCTCCTCTATCTGGATTAGAACCGATATGACTAGATTGGATTGATACTTAAAAAAAATAAAAAATAAAATAACTAATTAGTATATGCAAAGGAGGAAACTATGAACTAATTTTATTCATGTGTATTTTTGCCCGTGCTGTTACAATTCCTTGCGATAACTGTAGAAGTCATAGAATGATTTCAATCGAATCTGATAGACTGCCAGAGTTCTCAAAGATATTATATTCCTACAGCTTTTGTGAAGACAGGCAGCCCTCCAAGATGAGTGAAATACAGTCTTGTGATCCAATATAAAAGGCTACACATAAGCTCAGTCGTATTATTAGACACACAAACAAGAAGTACTTGAGAATAGATTTCATGGGTCCTACTACTCAAATGCTACCACAGTTGTACACCTTCAGCCTGCATTCTAGCTTTTCTCTGTCCACGCAGAAACATCAGAAGATATCTTTTTGATACAGCAGTAAACGCGGCTTGTTAACAGTTGTGTTATTTTTCCTCTCACTTAGTGATCAAGTAAAGTGAACTCACTCTTTCGGGTGTTACGAGCAGCGGCTGTAGGATTGGCCTGAGTGGCTGGAGTGGCTTCCCGGCACCGCCGAACGGCTGAAATCCACTGAGTCATCGCACGTAGCAAACTATTTCCCCCGTGCTCTCATTTGGCAACACTAGAGGCTAAATAAAAATTTGGATGGGAATTTCTTTGTTCTGTAAAAAGCTTTCAGCTTTCAAGAGGAACGTGCTTTAAAATTAAGCCTTCTATAATTTGTAGCTTCTTTGAGGCAGAACGGGGGTTTTTATATCACAGAATAATCACGTTATCACAACGAGCTCACTACAGAGAGACTACTGTAAGCCTCTCACTACAAACATTGAAGTCCTTTCTTTAATCCACTCCCCCACAGCACTCTAAATTACCTCCCTCCATCCCCAACTAATGATGCGTCTTGAAACATGGAACAAGGAGAGCAATTCCCAGACTAGATCGTGTGTAAAACCTGTATCGTGTCGTATATTTTCAAGTTATTAATCATCCTCCATTTGCAACGTTGGTTTCACGGCAAGTAGATTAGTTTATTAACTTCTGTACTTCGATAATCCTGGATGCAGCTCTTTTGACTTACCTTTTTTGGAGGCTATTTATTTATCTTATTCAAACAACCACTCACAGGTTATGCAGTGAGAAGCTCTGGTTTAGAGAATATCATATTGTAATATATATACGCTTAATTTCTTTCTACTTGGTTGGCCATAAAAGTATTATAAAGTTTACATAAAAGTATGCAAGTCGTGGCATTTTCTCACTAAGTTCTCCCACATTTCCTGTTTTCTGAACTTCCTCGAAATTGAATGCGTTTCTCATTATTCCAATGATCCGCATGCTGTGCTGCCGGTACCTGTGCCTGCCGTTACCAAACCGCGCAAAGATCGCCTTCCTCCTTCTGTCAGTTACTCTCGTATGCATCCCAGCTTTGTCATAATCACAGGCCCTTTTGGGGGGGGAAGTTCCTATTCCCTATAGTTCTTGTCTGTTTTTATAGGCGTTTTTAACCAAATAAAAAACCTAAAAAAAAAACCAAAACCCGCAATACATAACGCTTTGTTGACTTCAAAATGGAGTCTGGACAGAAGCCATTCCTTGGATCCGTTCTCATTCATTCATTAATTTACATTCTATAGAAATCGGGCGAAGAAAAGAGGGACTCACATTTACAAGGAAACCAACAGCATTCCTCCTGTTATTCGGCAGTAAGTCATCTTCCCTGACAATTAGGAGCAGATTCCCACTGTCCTAGTGTAGGTGTCCACTCAACTTCTCCAGTTGAACAAATGACGTCCTGAAAAAGATACAGGTCTTTTGCTAGGCGTGGACATAAGAAAGGGAATTCAGATCGCAGAATCAAAACACAGAGATAAGCTTCATTCAGTAAAAAGGTTCAGTCGGGTAACTCAGCAGACTGTTTTAAACAGTTTACTCATTTGCAACGGCTGCAAGCACCCGCTAGATCAGCACAAATGCCAGACCCTGACTCTCGGCCAGTCCCCCGTTGCCTGCCTTGAATACAGTTCTGTTGTGGAGGCAGCGTGTGCCTGCTGGCCCATGTCAAGACTGTCTTTCTCAACTCCCGGAAAATCAGAAACCCCTTTCCTCCTTTTTCGCTTTCCCAGAGAAAACATCTCAAAAGCTGATGCGTAATAGACCCCACTGTTAGATCTACGTGTGGGCGCTGTCAGTGCTTTGCTTTATACAGCATCCAGATTTAAAAGGATCAGTGTGATTTACAGAGGTAAGGAGAACCAGCGAACAAATTTACGTAGCGTTATCCAGTTACCTAAAAGACTCTGTGGGCAGTGAGGCCTAAAATCATTGGACTAATCTTTTCTCTTTGACATGCTTTCTTTATGGGAGCAGTACCTAATCCCTTGTTTTCAAAGACTTCTCGGAAATCCAACTTCTTCAGCTTCACTGTTGACTTACTTTGTTACATCTGAAATGTGTGGTTTTAACAAATCCCACTTGTGTCTAATCCTTCCTTCTCAGACAATCCATAGGTCCGGTTACAACAATAACTTGAAAAACTCCGAAAAACAGGAACACAAGCCATGCTTCTCCCCGCTGAAGTCTCGTCATTCGTTTTGTAGCCGTTCATTTGTCTCCTAGCTTTAATACAGAACTCTAATCCTGGACCGTGGCACTCAAAAAGGAAAACGTACAATGCTTAATTATAACAAAGGAACCGATGTCAAGTTATTTTATATCAAGCTTAACTTTCCAAACTGCTACGGGAGAAAGTCTCACTTAGTTCCAAACACAATGCCGCAGCTCACAGAGGTTGGTGCGTCTCGCTGTCCAGGCGAGGCTCCTTTCTCCCAGCGCTACCTACCTGACTGACTCAACTCTGCTTACCCACGCTCCCGAAACAATTATGCTGGGGAGTTAATAGCGTAAGGAACTAACAGAGCCTTCTGGAAGTAACCTTCCGCTTAAAACTGATATGCCTGCTTTCTCAAACAGATGAGGGTAATTAAAGAAAAAAGGGTATGAGTTCTGCGGCCGCTGACTGGGCAAACGCGAGGCAGAAGAGAAGAGATTCTGCTGAATGAGTCAGTGTTTCTAGCCTTCCGAGTTTAGGTGCTTGTTACAAAATGGAATAGTTCTGAGTAGCAAAGATGGTCTTTGAAATTGTAGCTGGCTCCTCTTGGGACAATGCCTCCAAATGCAAAATTATCATACAAATTTGCACGCTAAGGCAGATCTGTAACAAATGCAGTAAAACAAAACTAAGAATGTTTATATAAAAGGGCATTTTCATTTATTCTGATCATTAACAAATGTTCTTCTCAGGTTTCAATCTGGAAAGTTTTACGTAAGCGAAGAGCAATTTGCAAATGATGTTTTAAACCTGTACTGTTTCTCACAACTGGGTTCCACTCAGTCACTTCCTGACTGCGTTAAATGTAATGGCAAAACGTGCTCTGATTAAATAACTAAGCCCTTGGCAACCGCAATATGCAGCTTATCTGACAACTCCCCATAAACCTGGAAAACTTTTATCCTCTTTTTTTACTTTCTTCTCTTTCAACCAAGGAATTGTTTTCAACAATGCAATTAGAGAGAACGCAAGAAATGAGGAACAAAAGTTTTGAAGCAATAGAAAAAAAACGTACTTTATATAACTATGTTAGCAACTCAGATATTTGTATATTCAGCATCCCAATCGTTTGTAATTAACTGTGGTCCTCCCATAGTTGTAATTTACCACAGATGAAAATAGCCACGAGTAAGAGAATTGCTCTTCAGCTACTGAAAATGAATGTGACTCTTACACTATGAAACATTTCCCCCAAACATACTATGAGCTCAAATGACAACAGGATATCAAATGCTATCAAACAGGGTATTTTTTCTGGGCCTGTACCTAGCCATACTCAGAACACATTTTTGGTGGCTTAGATAAAATTAAATCCAAGTCCTAATAGTTACTTTTGTGAAATAAAAGGCACTGCAAGTTTTTGTGAAGCAGAGACTTGTTTACCTTGGCCCATCTTGACAACCAAGTGATGAAACACTGCTGCTTCACAAGCAGTTTATCAATTGCATCAGACAGTTCGTCACGCTTGGATTTTAAGGTGTATTTTTTCCTTTGTCTGCCCCCTGCCTCCCGTATCCTTCAGGAGTCTCGAAATAAGAATCGTGACTGTGCAGGTCAGAATGACAATGCACTGCTTTCCATAAATGTAATTTCCTGACGACAGCTTACAGCTTCTTGTAAGCGTGGATTGACCGCAATCCATGTAAGGATTCCTCTGCTGCCATCTGCTTCTCATTCAGGTTTACCTGAACTGATACTCCCAAAGGGCAGATGAGGATCTGAAGTTATGCCCTGTTAGTCTCTTACTATTTAGTGGCGAGGCGCTTCGTACCTGGATGCCCTGAAGAAAATGCTTGCATCTATTTTCTCAGTTTAAAGCATTTTACTTCTTCCCTTCCCTTTGCCTCCATTTCCCCCTTCCTGGTGATGTAGGTTTTTAATAGTCTTGCTATCTCACACGTGACCTAGTTCCAGGTTCTGC